CTCCCGAGCATGCCTCAGCTTCTCCCAGCCCCAGGAAGCAGGACTAAGAAATTCAAGGGAGACAGCAAAACAGTTCCACCTCCCCACCTCTGCAGCCAAGATGCAGACCATAATGGAACCTGTCCTTCTGCACCAGCATTTATTTTTTCATGTGCACAATTCTCTTCTGACAGCACTGTAAGAGCTTGGTGCTCTTCAGAGCACCCAAAATGACCTGCTTTACTCCATGTTGGAGTGAAAGAGGAGCACTCAGCATGGCCAGTGAACATGCTGGTGCCAAAGAGGCAATCACTTCCTGTAGTGCACAAACTTCTAATACAGTACTACCGGAGACTTAAATTTAAAAATTTAACCTTCTTTTTGCATCACTGCCAATCAGCAACACCAAATATTGGGGATATTCATGAGAAAACTACTGATTACACATTATGATTTAAAAACTCTTGCAAGACTTCTCTATGTCAGAAAATGCAGTGGGACACTAGAAAAAACAACAACAACAAGCTGATAAAGTCAAGTATGCACAACAGGATGATGGAATCTTACTTATGTGGGAGAGGGGTACCACAGCTCTGAGCTTTCTGTATTCCAGCCTTGTATGTGCTCCTGGTAAACACTGCAGGACATCTGACGTGCCAATCCTTCACCATAATTAAGCAAAATTAATGTAAAAATCAGACAGTCCTCCAACCCTCAGAAAACGCAGTTTTGTACCTCTTAAGGAAAACAGAGTTGCAGAGGAAGATGCCAGACCAGGGAGCTCAGACTTTCAGAATTGCCTGGAGATGGAAAGAGCAAGAGATGAAAATATGGCAAAGGGTGGTGCCTCAAAACAGAAAACAACAGGGCTGGAGCACTGGGCAAGACTACAGTCACCGGTCTGGGCTGTCATGAGAACAATGTAATGAGTGCCTGTGGTCTAAGAGCAGTTCCTGCAGTGAGGACCAGGAAGGTACCACTTCCATGCAATGCGAGGGGGATGCAGCACAGCTGGAACATGTGTGCCTTGAAGCAACAGAGCAAACAAGTGAAGCAGAATGTATGTCAGTGATGCTCACTTTACACAAAGATACTGTGATAATTTTCTTGAAGATGTTTAAATCAGAAGCATAAGAACCCTGAAAAGGTTTTACTTGTACAAAATAGCAGCCATTGTGTCCTTCCTTTGCTCTTGAAAAAAACTTCTAGTCATTCTAAAGCAAAAGCAATCATTTCTTCGATTGCAGTTCAGCAACAGGTATGTTGCATGGGTCAAAGTATGTGTTTGATTTTCTTTCACGTGTCAGATCTGGCATTGTTTGACCCCTTGCAAAGGTGATTCAGCCCACATTGCCAGGAGAAAATAAGCCCTTTTTTTAGAATTGTTCTTTTGGCATTATTTTTGGGGGGGTTGTTACAGTTTTTGCTGGCTTGAGCCTGCTAAGCAAACAGATGAGCACAAGAACTAGCATGAGATAATCAGTGGCAGTGTGTGTCTGGGACCATCTCTTTTGGCAGAAGCAAGATGTTAAATGAGCTCAGTTGCCTCATGACACCTCACTGAACACAAAACAGCAAGTGACAGGCTTTCCAAAAAGCTATTTGTTTCTCCAGGAATTCAAAACCAAGCTTCTTCCAGCAGCTGTTGGGAAAGACCAGATTTGCATAGCAACACAGGCAGTATTTGTACAGGGCCTTTTTGTGAAGGAAGAGATTAAACCTCTGGTACACAAGAGGGATGAAAGCTTTCTCCTCTCAGAAGCATCAGAGAGAAGACTGTTTATTAACCTTTATTCTTCCTAACAACAGTCTTGGATTTATTTTCTCATATAACAGGAATTATGGGGTATTTGGCTTTCATGTTTATTTAAGGAACTCTTTTGTAGTATCCCCTACTTCTTTCCCCAAGGAAGCACTTTTAAGACTAAGTAATGTGGCCATGACTTTTTTTTTTTCTTTTTGGTATTTAAATGTATTAACGGCAAAGTCATAAAAATCAGGCTTGTAGCACAGCCAAGCCTGAAGAAAAGTCTGCTCAATAGAGATCACTGTTTCCACAGCAGTTTCCAGAGAAGGAATGTATGTTTCCACATACAACAAGCAGCCTTTTATGTCAGTGAGTCTGAGAAGAGGTCTTGTCCAAGCCAGCTAAATTCAGTTTCTAAAAAACATTTTCTTTTGCTGGAAGGCAGAAGGGCTGGGGTTTCGCCAAGGAAGGTGGCCAGGCTGTGCAAGGCCACGTGGACAAGTGTGGTGCATCCTCCCTGCTCCCTCAGTGGGAGGGGTCTGCAGGAAAATGTGTGGTCTTGAACCTTTCCACAATAGGTGGGTCTCGGGGGCTTGGACCTGCTTCTGCTCCGAGTAATGCATGGAGGGCAGAAGGATGGGCAAGGGACAGGAGAGGAGAGGACCCAGACAAGAAGCATCATGCATTAAAGACAAGAGCACATTAGGGCATCAGTGATCACAAACATCCCAGATAAAATCAGACTGAAGACAGCAAAGGAAAATGTTTTACATTTTCAGCTTTATTAGCATTTGAATGTTGTTGATGAAACACCTATTCTAAAGCCACCTAACTTTTTATCCTCCCCCCCCGCCCCCCATTTTCTCATCTGAAAATGACCAGCAGCCTCAACCTGGAAGGTAAAAATCAGCACGGAGCTTATTAACAAAAGCTTCCATCTCCCACGTGGGTAAACAGATGTGTTTGCCACAGTTGCCCCCAATTACTGCTCTTTCTTTGTGAATTAGCTTGTCTGATGCAAGTGTTTTAGTACTCAGTCAAGACATGTATATCCTCAGCAGCATCAGCAGGGCTACAGTAACATGGCTGTGGCTGAAAGGGAAAGGATAGACCAGAAGGCAGAAGTAATTAAGCTGTTCAGCAGCTTACATGCCACGTTCTGTTTCTGAGGCCAGCCATGGCACAGGTCAACTGCTTTAGGTTAGATTAATTAAAGTTCAGCCTAACTGCCCACAGTGACAAGTTGTTTTCTTGATCAAGTTTAAACACCAACACTTCTCCTGGCCCTGCCCCTGTCACTCATTTGCTTGAAATATTTCATACTTTGACCCCTCAAAAGCACGTCTTCTTTCTTTTAAAGGAAACTTCAGAAAGTAGCATATTTATTTGGATTTTTGGTGATGTTTTCTCCCTTCCCATGCAACACAGAGAAGAACAGAAAGACTTTCAAGAACACCTGCTTCCCCCAAAAGCATGTCATGACATATTTGACATTTATCAAATCCAAAAAAAACATGATTTGATGTACAAAAGCCCTGAGTTTGCACTACTGTCCCCTCAGTCACCCTGTCCTCATTCACCTCCAGTAAACAAGCACTTAAAAGCTGAAGAAAAAACTAGAAGGGGCAGAACATTCTCGTTTATCCATGGCAGTCAAACAACTTGTAAAAGAGAAGGAGGAGCAGGAGGAAGAGGATGCATTTGTCTGTGACAGCATGAGGCCAGTCCGGGTAAGCACAATGTCACCCAGTTTTTTGGTACAATTCACAAATGTTGTATGTTAACCACTGTTAAATATTCACAAACCCTTCTGTCAGGGTCCCTTGAAATCACTCCCATTTTGCTAATTGTTAGCCCCTAATGGTAGTTTCTCATTAATAAAGGAACAGGAGAAGATCCAGAAACAAGGCAAGAAGGAGATCCAGAAACAAGGCAAGAAGCACATGAAAAATACAGAGAATTAGACACATAAGTCAATATATCCAGTTTACTCTTTGCTATCCTTTATTTTAGAGCTCAGTACTTAGCTTGGAATACCCGTCATATTTGATAATTGTTTTGGCTGGTAATAACAATAGATTCACTTGGATTTATTAGACACAGCATACTTTATTTAATACCAGTCTCTGGATTTGTACCAATGCCTGCTGACAGTGCTCTCACACTGTGTCCTTCCAAGCAAGAAATGAGGTCACCATGATTCCTGTAATAAAGTGATAAACATTTTGTGGCAATTTGGAAGAGTTTTTAAAATTCCTAAATGAGGTCCTTTTGGTTTGGGTTTTTTTTGAGGATTTTTTTCTCTTTTTGGAAATTTGGGTTTTTTCCACTTTGCAATTAGAATTTCCCAGGTGGATGACCAAACCATAAAATCCAGGAAGAAATTCAAGTTCTGCTTTTTTATTCTTTATTATTATTATTATTTATGTTGTTATTATTATCATTATTAATATTTTTTTTCCTTACTGAAGTTGAGGTGCATACACAGTTTGTTTCTGAGCAAAATGCTGCCCTTTTCTGGCAAGAAGGGAGTCTTGTTTAATTAAGTGACATTCCAGAAAGTTTGCAATTAGAAAGGATCAAGGTACAAAGAGAACAGCCTGAGGAAATGCTTTTTCAAAGAGGACAGGGCTTGTTGATAATTTTGGCAAGGCAAGAGGAACAGCTACAATAACTACATTTATTTTCTTCTAATCTTGGGCTCTTAAAAGGTAGAAAATGCCCTATACTTACAAGAAGACAACAGGAACAAGACAGATCCTTAGGCATAACATTAGATATTGCACCTGGACTACTGGAATCACTGACTCCAGAGGGCACAGCAGTTCGGGTACCACCTCAAGTATCTGAATTAAAATCTCACCTACCTCTACCTGTAACAGGACCATAAAGTGCATTTCTGGAAGGATCTCCAGGCAGAAATGGAAATGTTTCAGCATGTGCAATTGCACAACTTGTGGCTGAACAACTCCACTGCAGAAAAGTGCAGGGATTCCCTCCACCAATGCATCTCTAGCACATGAGTCCCTGCTGTCACATCACGGTGGCCCAGATGAGCCAGAAGGAAAGGCAGGGGTGTAAGAGAGGGAACCACTGTCATTTTCTGGGGCCAAACCAGTAGGATCCTATGGTCTGGTACTTGTGAAGGGCAGCAGAGTGAGTGAGCCTCATGGGGTCATTAAAGGAAAAGCTTCTGCAAAACTTTCCTGAGTAGCTTAAGAGATTTTTTTTTTTTAAGGTTTTTTTTTGCACAATAGTAATAAATAGAACTTACCCATTCCTGAAGGCTTCTCTTCTTCCAAGCCAAACAAAAATTCATATTTGGCCTTGGCAACATTCTGGGCATGAGCTGATATGTCATTATCCCGCACAAGTGTTTCTGCCTAGAGTAAAAATAAACAAAGTTTATATACCTTTTAGTGAAAAAACAGCAGAAGGAACATGAAATCCCTTCAGGCAGCATTTTTAAAGTATTAATTTCACTCTGTCACCACCAAGATCATACAGAGTAGACATGGGCCAACTCAGTGCTTTTGAAGAGCTCACCCCTCTGTCACTGAACCCAAGAATTTCAATATTAAGAACAAAGACCTAACAGAGATGTGAGAGCAGCCAACCACTCTTTACACACTCTTTAGCCAGCTTACCCACTGAAAGGCCAGCAGCAGTGGCCAACTATCTCAATAATACTGGTTAGGGTTAAAAATATCAAGGGAATAGTATCAGAAATAGCAAATTTGAGTATGCATGTCATAAAACTGGAACTCATGGGAAAACCATAAATGGGGCAGGCTGTCTCTTTGAAAAGATAGTGGGGTAGAGAAAGTGAGGAGCAAGGACTACAACAAGGATGATTAAAAAGGGGAAGAAGGATAAGGTATGCAAACATGTACTTAGACAGGAGTACTGTCTAAGGGTCCGTGTTGGGCAGCCCATACATGACCACCACTGTCTAGGTCAGGAGAAGAGCCCAACTTGGTTTTACAACCATACCACACAAGTCAAACCTGCTTATCTGGCCAGGAGGCAGGGAGGGGACACAGGGTGGTGAGTCCAGTAAGCAAGGGAACACCTGGTAGGGTGAATGGACAGACGGATTGAGCAACCTGTTCTACCCAAGCCTGGTGCTCCCAGCACCTTCCCACTGCTCCTTTCTAGTGAGAAACACTTTGACAGAGTAAAGGTCCAGTTTCTCAGAAGAGAGAAAAGCTACAGGACTAAGATCAAAATACTCTTCTAAACAGGTAGGGACAAAACAAATCTCTAAGATAAAGCACACGCCAGCAATAAACTGTAGTGCAAAAACTATCTAGAGTCAGCATTAAGTTCCTTCCCAGCTGGGCAAGATGGAGCCCGTAATTCTTCTGTTTGAAGTGACAGATAAAATAAATCACTAACTCCATAAATTCTTCAGTAAACTTTATATTCATATGAGGCAGTCAATTGCTCTGGCATAGCAAGCCATGGCATGGTTTACATTGGTGAAAGCATTAGCTTGCAAAAACACTCTTTAAAAAACAAAGTTAAATGGAACATTCCACCCCCCAGGACAACAATAACTTTTAAGTATTTCTATCAAATACCTCAGGATAAGCGTCAGATATAAACAGAAATTCAAAGTACAAGGGACATATAATTCACAGGAACACATAGTCACAGCTCTTTAATCAGAGATGGATGGAACCACAAATCCATATATTACTCCTAGGACATCTGTCCAACAATTGTATTTTCTTCCAGGAGCACACTGACAAATAGTTATCTTGTCCTATGTCCTAGAATGGTTTTGCTCCAGGTTCCCCTGGCCTTTTACACCCATTTCTTCTCCTACCTTTCTGCACTGTGCCAGTTCTGCAAGATTTAGTCCAACACCACTCTACCCTAAGTCAACAGCAGATCTTACACAGGGGTCTTGGACTAATTTATTTACCATTCACTAGACATTCACTAGTCCAACTACTCAGCACTAGGGCTTCAGTACACTGATGCACATGCTAACACCAGCCTACCCAATCCTTTGGTAAAGATGTGATGGAACAGATAAAGGGATTTCTATCACAAAAATAACTATCACAAGCATGACAAAATGAGCTTGGAAGAAATCACCATGTCTGTCCTGCCCTTACAGGCCTGCATTCATTCACTGGCAGGGAGGCAGGAAGGGTTAGAAAAGGAATAGCTGGAGCCAGACACAGGAGAAGGCTCTTTGTCTGCAACAGCTTAGACAGGAGTACCTTACACAGCCAGACAAAAATTCAGCCTACTCAGAGGGATGTGAAGGGATGGGATGGCTAACAACTAGCTGGTGCCAAATCCCAGTGACAGATAAATGAAATGGAAAATAAAATGAACAGAACAGTTCCTGAGCAGTAAAGAATTTCTGATCTATACCCCTCTGGGACACAGCTTCTCCATCCCTCAGCCTTGCTCTTTGAGATTTCACAGACATCTGCTACACTGAGTATCCTTGCCAGCAAACACATGTTCCAAGGATCTGTATTCGCCAGTACCTTACTGTAAAGCAAAGAAGAAAACTCCAGCTTACAGCACCTTCTGCATCATCCAGTAACAGTCACAAGTAAATTGTAAAATTAATGGGGTTTCAGTGTATAGGCCATCATTTATCAGAGGTAAGTGCCTAAACAGAGGCTGCACGATCTTAGTCTTTGTATCTGAAAGGGGCAACTTGATTGTCAGAAGTGCTCAACGCTGCTGATGAAAATTACAGATACTGGCTTGTGTATGGGAACAGCTGTATTTAACATCTATTTAGGTTGTCAGAGCACTAAAAGGATGTATAAAGAAAGTCCATATCCACGCTTAAAGGTTAGTTAATCATATTTCATCCAAACAAGACATATTAAAAAAGAATGGAAGAGCAGGAAAGAATGAGGATGCTCTGAGGTCAGTGCTAGTTTTTAAGACTATGGCTTTACCAATGTCCAAATCAAGAGACAACTTCTCCTTTCCTTCTTTCAATCTACCACCCACCAAGCGTTGCGGCAGTCACAATGCCCTGAAACGAGGAGCCCAGAAATGGGCTGGACAAAAATTCATGGTGCTTTCAAGCTGCATTAGCAAAGATTAAATACAATCAAGATTGAAAGGGATATAAAACTCCTGCTTAAGCCTTCTCTCGCAGCTCAAGGGCAAAGAAATCTGCATCCAAGTCAGCCATTTCATAATTGCTTCCCTCAGAGGGCTTTAACCACCACCTTTGAAGCATCTTGTCTTTGTCACTGCTGGACAGAGTGACACTTAAGAGCACCAATCCCCTTAAATCAGCCCAGCTCTACGTACATTTCTCATGAGCCATATAAGTATTATTTTTCAGTCCAGTGATGCTCTGGGCAGAGAGGCAGCAAAAGCCTACCCATTGGAGCATCATTCTTGCAGTGCTTTCTGCCTGTTTGAACATGTTTGATAAAGCCTAATTCTCTAGATTATAGCTCTTGGTTAGGAGTTAGGAAGGCTGCATTTCCCCCTCAGTGAATTTTAGATAACATTTATGATGTTGCATTGGTTTGCATTTGGCAGTCCTCACCCCTCAGACCTCCTGCCAACACACTGGACCAGTTTCTATTGACCTCACACAAGGCATTGGCATGGGTCAACAGAGCTCCTACCTTGCTGACCTTCTGTTTCATGCTTAGGGAGCAGAGAGATTCTTTAGGATAAGCCCATGGTGCTTGTGGTTGTTTCAGGCCAGCACAGGAATGAAGCTGCTGAATCCGTGTCTTAGCAGTGAACTGGACAGTAGCAGGATGCTAAGACCACAGGGTACCTGCTTCTCCAGCAGGAGCTGCCAAGGACAGGTAAGTCAGCCCAGCAAGTCTGGATGTGCAAATGGAGCAGCAGGTCAGTATCTGCAAGGAGAAACTGTTTCCACAATTCACCCTTGAGAGGTGTCTTTAACTCCTGAAGAGAGCTGGTTGCTGCCTTTCCTGAAACACAGTTTCGCTCTCTGGATGAATTTCATTTCAACTGGTAAGCTCCCCCCAAACTGCCCTCCAAAAATCCCAGTGGTTTTTAGGAAGGTATAGTGAGTCATAAAAAGCTGAACAAAAAGCTTCTCCTTTCTCCACAGAAGAAAACCACCAAAGTATCCTGTTTTGACTTTCACTGACATTCTGGTTGGGACCTTTTTTTGGGAACAACTGGTTTTGTCTTGGGGCCTTTTTTAGCATACTGTCTTGGGGTAAATGTTTCCTCCTAAGCTGTCTGAAACCAAGACACATACCTACATGTCAGAGAGCTTTAAGTGAAGAATATCAAACTCTTGCTATCTCACCACCATTTTCAGCTAAGCTGACAGGAGAGCTGGGCTTTGTCTCAGTGGAAGGGGATAACACTGTCCACAGCTGGTGGGACAAGCAATGGGTCAGTCTGAGCACAAAGAACCAGTGTGAACCCATGCCTCCTCAAGCATTCAAACTTAAGGTCATATACTTTGAAAATGTCTAATAAGGAGGAAGTTTTCAAAGAAGCAGATAATTAAATGGCAACTTCCAGTCTGGAATTTTTCAGACTCCCTGAGAGGACAGATGCTGTTAAGACAGACTCACTCCTTGCAGAAGACCTGGGAAAAGAGTGCATGAGAAAAAGCAGAACAGGATGGGTACTCAAACATAAGTCTTCAGAGAGCAAGAGTCAGCCAAAATTCTGGACAGCAAGAGACCACTAAGGGGAAACATCAGCAGGAAGGGACCTAAGGACTGTTCATGAAGAACTGTTAGCCAGGACAGAGAGGTGAAAGCATTCTCAGGCATGTCCCCACAGCTAAGCCATATCATGAGGAAGCCTCAGTTTTACATGCTTCGTATGTGCACAGCTCTGTTTCCCAGAACTTCCTGCCTACCCCCTCAGCCATACCACCACAGCCCCTACCCTGGAGCGACTTTTAGAGGTTTCACTGAGGTTACTGGGGAAATGCTGCAGTATTGCAAGAAAGCAGAAAAAAAGCCTTGAAGAATGCCTGTAAACTGTGTCAGTCTACTACGGAGAACTTCACAGTCATACCCGGACCATTTCTAGTCCCTGGCTGTGCTTGGTCCAGTCTCATTGCTTCACCAACATCTCTAGCAGCAAAAAACTCAATTGCCTGTCAGCAGCCTTTCAAATACCCCAATACAGTGACTTTATGCTCTCAGCAGGAATGATGGACAGATGGTTCCCACAGATTTTAAGATCTTCTCCAGCAAACTGCAATGTCATGGGCAAGTCTTTACAGAATCCTGCATTGAGAGCTCTGCCTCTGCTGTCGCATCATCCCTGAGTGGCCAAGAGCTCAGCAAGCTTCACTGTTTTTGACAGGTCATATCAATTGTTCTGAAAAGACTATGCCTGTTGAGCTTGTCTTAAATCACTTTCCTAACATGAAAAG